TTTGAGGGTTCTTATAACTTGTAAGGTTTGTTAAAAACCACTTTGACTTAATGGTTGTTTAAAAACTCTTTGGTGTAATAGCTGTTTAAAAGCAATGTGGTTTAATGGTTGTTTAAAACCACTATGGTTTTTTTGGTTGTTAAAAACCACTATGGTTTAATGGGTGTTAAAAACTACGTTGACTTAATGGGTGTTTAAAACTACGTTGACTTAATGGGTGTTTAAAACTACGTTGACTTAATGGGTGTTTAAAACAATTTGGGTTAAGATTTCTTTGGTGGATTTTAACAAACTTCATTTGTTAATGATGTCACAAACCATACAGGGTTTATACTTGTCCCAAACAACATAGGGTTTCTAGTGGCAACTTGCCACACCACTCCATAACTTTAACCTGTCCCCCCACCCCCTCCAGCCACATACATCTTGACTCTATGGATGCACTGTGTCACACTGGGGAACATGACTGACTTCACCTCATGTCACACTGGGGTACATGACTGACTTCACCACATGTCACACTGGGGTGCATGACTGACTTTACCACATGTCACACTGGGAACATGACTGACTTCTCCACATGTCACACTGGGGAACATGACTGACTTCGCCACATGTCACACTGGGGGAACATGACTGACTTCACCCCATGTCACACTGGGGAACATGACTGATTTGACTTCACCACATGTCACATAGGGAACATGACTGACTTCACCACATGTCACATTGGGGAACATGACTGACTTCACCACATGTCACATTGGGGAACATGACTGACTTCAACACATGTCAAACTGGGGAACATGACTGACTTCACCACATGTCAAACTGGGGAACATGACTGACTTTGCCACATGTCACACTGGGGAACGTGACTGACTTCGCCTCATGACATCAAGGCACGATGCGTACGCAGATTGAAGTAACCCCCAACCTGATGATACCTCGGTGCCTTATTTTTTTAGTTTATTGTAACACTTTATTGTCACAAGTGAAGCTTTAGGTTTTAGATGCATGATTCATGAGTTATTCTGAATAATGATTATAGATTATACTCCGCATTTTGTCACCACTGTACAACTCGGCCAGGAGAGATGTGCATTTTGTCACCACTGTACAACTCGGCTAGGAGAGATGTGCATTTTGTCACCACTGTACAACTCGGCCAGGAGAGATGTGCATTTTGTCACCACTGTACAACTCGGCCAGGAGAGATGTGCATTTTGTCACCACTGTACAACTCGGCCAGGAGAGATGTGCATTTTTCTTCGCCCGACCTAGTGTCGCCTCTGAAACTCTCAGACTCCCTTGTTGTCATGTCTGAAAGACTTCGTCGATAAAATTAATTGTACACTCCGAAAAACCAGTATCACATTGGGTCAGCACGGTGATAAATATGGTCAACTACATATAGCTCAACAGATGGATTATATTCTAAGAGCCATCCATCTCGCCAGCCTTATACTTAGAGAGGAAATACGACGAAGAGATGTATAGTTCCATCCATTTCTAAGTCTTGTTATAAAATCTTGCGACATGATAATGTTAAACTCTTGCAAAATATTAGTTTGTCGTGACACCAGCTCCCGTTGCACCAGCTGACATGACACTAGTTTGTCGTGACACCAGTTTGTCGTTACACCAGTTTGTCGTGACACCAGTTTGTCGTGACACCAATTTTCCGTGACACAGTTTGCCACTTTTATCGGCCAGTGGCGGCACTTCGCATCAGATGAGGGAAATTGATCTTTCTTTGGTGGTAGTGGTGAAGAGATGAAACTGGTGTTAGTGTAAACAGGTATCACGGCCAATCGGTGTCACGGCAAACTGGTGTCACGTAAACTGGTGTCACGTAAACTGGTGTCCCGGTAAACTGGTGTCACGGCAAAATGGTGTCACGGTAAACTGGTGTCACGTTAAACTGGAGTCACGGCAAAATGGTGTCACGGCAAACTGGTGTCACGGTAAACTGGTGTAACGGCAAACTGGTGTAACGGCAAACTGGTATCAGGGTCAACAGGTGGCACGGAAAACTGGTGGCACGGTAAACTGGTGGCACGAAAAACTGGTATCAGGGTCAACAGGTGGCACGGTAAACTGGTATCAGGGCAAACTGGTGGCACGGTGAACAGGGGGCACGGTCACAGGTGGCACGGTAAACAGGTGACACGGTAAACAGGTGACACGGTAAACTGATGTCACGGTAAACTGATGTCACGGTAAACTGATGTCACGGTAAACTGATGTCACGGTAAACTGATGTCACGGTAAACTGATGTCACGGTAAACTGATGTCACGGTAATCTTGTGTCACGGTAAACTGGAGCCACGACAAACGGATGTCACGACAAACGGATGTCACGACAAACTGGTGTCACGGTAAAATGGTTTCATGTCAGCTGGTGTCACGGCAAACTGGATGTCATTTGTGGTAGTTTATTTTAGTTAAACTGAAGAAGTAAGTTTACAAACATATTGTCTGTTCAAGTATCTTTCATTTGACACCTCTTTTTGTCTTACATACCCAACAATAATAGTTTTAAAAGGTGTTTTTTTTTATCCAAACCTTTCACTTCTGGTACCCGGGTGCGAATAGCCACTTCGATAAATAAAAATAAAAACTAATTTTGAAAGGTTTCACGGGAATGTTCAAGTTCTCACCGACGTCATGAACGAACCAATACAGACACCGACGTCATGAACGAACCAATACAGACACCAACGTCATGAACGAACCAATACAGACACCGACGTCATGAACAAACCAATACAGTCACCAACGTCATGAACGAACCAATACAGACACCGACGTCATGAACGAACCAATACAGATACCAACGTCATGAACGAACCAATACAGACACCGACGTCATGAACAAACCAATACAGTCACCAACGTCATGAACGAACCAATACAGACACCGACGTCATGAACGAACCAATACAGACACCAACGTCATGAACGAACCAATACAGACACCGACGTCATGAACAAGCCAATACAGTCACCAACGTCATGAACGAACCAATACAGACACCGACGTCATGAACGAACCAATACAGACACCGACGTCATGAACGAACCAATACATACACCGACGTCATGAACGAACCAATACAGTCACCGACGTCATGAACGAACCAATACAGACTCCGACGTCATGAACAAACCAATACAGACATCGACGTCATGAACGAACCAATACAGACACCGACGTCATGAACGAACCAATACAGACACCAACGTCATGAACGAACCAATACAGAAACCAACGTCATGAACGAACCAATACAGACACCGACGTCATGAACGAACCAATACAGACACCGACGTCATGAACGAACCAATACAGACACCGACGTCATGAACGAACCAATACAGACACCGACGTCATGAACAAACCAATACAGACATCGACGTCATGAACGGACCAATACAGACATCGACGTCATGAACGAACCAATACAGACACCGACGTCATGAACAAACCAATACAGACACCGACGTCATGAACGAACCAATACAGACACCGACGTCATGAACGAACCAATACAGACACCGACGTCTTGAACGAACCAATACAGACACCGACGTCATGAACAAACCAATACAGACATCGACGTCATGAACGAACCAATACAGACACCGACGTCATGAACGAACCAATACAGACACCGACGTCATGAACGAACCAATACAGACACCGACGTCATGAATGAACCAATACAGACACCGACGTCATGAACGAACTAATACAGACTCAAGGAGTTCACCGTTTGGACACAGTTGGCATATTGAATCACTTTCATAGTTTCTTGACAATGCAATCAGGTTCAGCCGTACACATTTGACTTCGCGTTATTTTGTACTTAGGATGAAACTACATTGAACGCATTACCAGTTTAAAAAAAGACACATCGGCTCACCAAAACACTTATTGATTCACCAAAACATATTTGCTCACCAAAACATGTTGATTCACCAAAACATATTAATTGGCCAAAACATATTTGCTCACCAAAACATATTGATTCACCAAAACACCAAAACATATTCGCTCACCAAAACACATATTGGTTCACCAAGGCATATTGGCTCAGCAAAACATATTGGCTCATCAAAGCATATTGATCAACCAAGACTATTGGCCCACCAAAACACATATTGATTCACCAAAACATATTGGCTCACCAAATTTCTTGCGTTATCGAGTGTTCAGCAGCCTTGTTAGCCGCCTGGTTAGATGAGTATGTTGTTTCTATGAAACCTCCTAATTGTATACGCAGAGATGTTGCATGTGTGGCCACACCATTGACCTGGCTCTACTGGCGTTGTGCAGTACGGCATAGTCCGCGTGCTGTGGCATGGTTCCATGTTTTGTTGTGTTTCATGGCTTTATCGCTGTGTACTCTTCAACTCTTCATGAAAATGTCCACTTGTAAGTGTAATGGCTGCTTGTACGTGTAATGGCTGCTTGTACGTGTTATGGCTGCTTGTACGTGTAATGGCTGCTTTTGCGTTGTTTGCTGAAGCTGCAAGTGAAATGGGGGGGGGGGCGATCTTTGTAACTGAGTGAGCTTTTCAATGGATAACTGACCCCCCCCCCCCCCGGGGCGGCCTATCAATAACTCTGAGACAGACATGGCATGGCGCGAAATGAGTTAACTCTTTCTGAGTGAACAACCGTCATGCGCGGCCCTCACGTGCTTCTTCTTACTGGTCGCGCTGGCAACAAGTTGGCAAGGCCTGTGTTGGGAAACACTAATAGAGAGAGAGAGAGAGAGAGAGACGGGGTGGAGAGAGAGAAAGAGAAAACAAAAGAGGTGGCGAGAGAGAGAGAGAGGAAGGGGGTTTTTCAAGCAGGGGGTTCGGGCGGGGCAGGGATCGACGTGGAGAAGGAGAGAAAGTCACCAGTGTGTCGTGGCGCGGACAAATTTGATGATGACGCCTGCAACGTCAGACAGAGGCGAGCTCTCGACCTGTTGGTGGGTTGTGACGCCGGGTGGGTTGGCGGACTTGGGTCGTCGTATCGTCAGAATCGGTGTTTTATTTTTTTGGTGCACGCACGATTCCACACCAACCGGCCATCCGTTTCGTCCATCGCTCCCGGTGTGTGTGTGTGTGTGTGTGCGTGAGCCCTGGTTTCTTGTGTTCCCCGCCTCAAAGTTCGTCTGAAGTTGTTTGGAAGATGACGACATACGGCCCACGAGATTAGCAGCAGACGGGAATGGGAAATGACAACAACGGTGTCTAGTGGTTATTGTTCCGAGTATTGGTATCGTAATGTGTGGTGACCATAGTTGGCGAGTTCAATTCATGATAGCAGTGAAGGTAAGTGGCCGACTACTGGTGACGCTTTTTGTCTTCTTCTCTACTTCCCTGAATTAGTTAATTTGATGCATGAAAAGGCAACGTCATACGTCAACGTCATAAGTCATGTCAACAATGTCGTGTCCAGAATGCCATATGCCATACGTCATGTCAACAATCCGATGCGTCATGTCGACAATGTCAAAAGTCGTGTCGGCAATGTCAAACGTCGTGTCAGCAATGTCATACTTCGTGTCAACAATGTCATATTTGTCATGTCAACAAAGTCATATGTCATGTCAACAATGGCATACGTCATGTCAACAATGGCATAGGTCATGTCAACAATGTCATATGTCGAGTCAATAATGACAATCATTAAGTTTTGCGAGCTGTACTTTGCGTTAATCATAATCCCTTTGAATCTTTGAAAATAGATTATATATATTATGGGGAGAACACAATTCAGACTAAAGTGATAGATTAGTTTCAGGAGTACCGAGTGATAGATTAGTTTCAGGAGTACCGAGTGATAGATTAGTTTCAGGAGTACCGAGTGATAGATTAGTTTCAGGAGTACCGAGTGATAGATTAGTTTCAGGAGTACCGAGTGATAGATTAGTTTCAGGAGTACCGAGTGATAGATTAGTTTCATGAGTACCGAGTTATAGATTAGTTTCAGGAGTACCGAGTGATAGATTAGTTTCAGGAGTACCGCTACGCCGTACTTCATATCTCCTGGAAAAGGGGATGAATCTGATAGAATTCTTGATTTGGTAGCATGACTCTGTCGAGCAAATGATCGTAATATTCCACTTTCTTTGACTTTTCGAGAAGAAAACATTGCGATTCCAGTCTTTTCTTACTCCTTGTTGTCTTGTTGTATAGTTGTATAGTTGTCTAGTTGTCTTGTTGTATAGTTATATAGTTGTCTGTTGTCTTGTTGTAAAGTTATATAGTTGTCTAGTTGTCTTGTTGTATAGTTTTATAGGTGTCTAGTTGTCTTGTTGTATAGTTTTATAGGTGTCTAGTTGTCTTGTTGTATAGTTTTATAGGTGTCTAGTTGTCTTGTTGTATAGTTTTATAGTTGTATAGTTGTATAGTTTTATAGTTGTCTAGTTGTTTTGTTGTATAGTTTTATAGTTGTTTAGTTGTCTTGTTGTATAGTTTTATAGTTGTATAGTCGTCTAGTTGTCTTGTATAGTTTTATAGTTGTCTTGTTGTCTTGTTGTATAGTTTTATAGTTGTATTGTCGTCTAGTTGTCTTGTATAGTTGTGTAGTTGTCTAGCTGTCTTGTTGTATAGTTGTCTAGTTGTATAGTTGTGCAGTTCTATAGTTTTCTAGTTGTATAATTGTGTGATTGATGGTCTAGTTGTATTGTTGTCTAGTTGTATAGTTGTCTAGATGTATTGTTGTCTATCTGTGTTGTTGTCTAGTTGTATAGTTGATCAATACGCCAAGAAGTCTCCGCTAATATTTGATGACGTCCATGTTATAATGGTCCATCTAAATACAAACTAATGATCAGTAGTTGGTAAATAAAATGCTCACCCAGAATCCCAAATATTCTACATTAATTTTTGTTGGTCAAAGTTTTTGGACAAATGTAAGATCACATATGATTCTCATCCTTCCTATAGACTTGAATATGTTACATTTTGTATGTGCTTATGTATTTATGTTTAGGGTGGGTTTGGTTGTAGCATAATAGTCATGCTAGCCTTGATGGTTACATTCATCTTCAGGCGATAACTTTTAGTCGATATGAACTCAGGGGCGTTGGAAGGGGTGTGGAGGGGGCGGTTCGCCCCGGGTGGCACTAACCTTAGCCACACCACTGTATGACCTCAGAGTTGAGCTACCATAGAGCTAAGAAAGTGACCAACACGGATACTGATTGGGGGCAATGGGTTGTGATTTGGGAATAGTTTGTGATTGGAGGAGTGGGGTCGATTGGAGGTATATCTGGGATCGGAGAAATGCAGGGGTGGTTGGAGGCATTAGGTGTTAGTGAAATGTGTGAGAGAGGTGGATTGCCAGGTGATTGTGGGAATGAGCTGGTCGTTGGGGATTGGGGTTAAAGTTGGGAAGCGTCGGAAGGGGGGCGCAGGGGGGTGGGGGCTTAGAAATATAATTATTTTATCGAAGTGTGAAATCATTTTTATATGCAAATATGACTCCATATGTTTAGTTACACGGCTCCTGCATATTTTTAGGTTTGGTCCAGTTATTGTGGGGGATGTTCCATGGGATCATTGATCTCATGCTATCAGATAGCTTGGTCTTGTCACTGACAGCTAGATGTGACCTGTAGACAACTCGAACTTTACGCAGGGTGTTACAATAAAGATTTCTGTCTCGGATTTCAATGCTCTAAATTAGTGGTTCCCAACCTGTGATTAAAGAAGCCCTTAGCGCTCCATATGCAATGGTCTGGGGTTACGCTCCGGGAAACTCACTAGTACTATTTACTTGTAAGACAAAGCATAACCACCCCCGGGGGGGGGGTTGGGGGGAGGTGCTCCCTTAAACAAATTTATTCTAAAAATGTCTCGGGGAGTCAAACATGTTTGGAAACCACTCCTTTAAATTTTTATAAATTGATGTCCTTATTGGGATCTAGAAAAAGTGATTTCTTGTAAAAATTTAAGACCACCAGGAATTCCGAAATCACCTACACTTCCGGTATACGGCAATGTCATGTTGACCCAAGCAATATAGACATCTGCGGTGGGGAAGACTGTGGGCAACACGGTGGTCAAAACCTTTTTCTTATAGGAAGGCCCGCATGGGGGCATGATGTCTTCATCAAACAAAAGCTCTTCCTTTGGGAAATGTTGACAACAATGATCTCGATTCTAGATAGTGTTTTAAAATGTTAAACGTTCTGATAATATGGCTTGGCAAGGATGGAATTGTGTGTCCATTCCCCATTCTCCATCCAGTGGCGTAGCTAAGGTTAGTCCCACCCGGTGCGGGCTAAGATTTTAGGACTAAGATTTTACCGCCCCATTCCACGAAAAAATACTCTTTAGATTGCCGAAAATGCCGCCCCTGAATATAAAGGAAAAAAAGAAAGTGCAGTCCGGTGCGAACCGTCCCCTTCTCGCCCCCCCCCTCCTTTCCTACGCCACTGCACCCATCTGTATGCTGTCAATTATCCTCCACGTGAGATAACGGCACGCCAGGCCAGATATCTTGCGTCCTGAAAACGTAATTAGATGTTGCACTTCCGGATCAAGTCAGTTACAAATCTCAAAGTTTGTGCCCGCATCTGTGTCTGACAGATTGTTCATGTCCCCGTTTGTGTCAGACAGATTGTTCATGTCCCCGTTTGTGTCAGACAGATTGTTCATGTCCCCGTCTGTGTCAGACATATTTTTCATGTCCCCGTCTGTGTCAGACAGATTGTTCATGTCCCCGTCTGTGTCAGACAGATTGTTCATGAACTACTCTGTGTCAGACAGATTGTTCATGTCCCCGTCTGTGTCGGACAGATTGTTCATGAACTACTCTGTGTCAGACAGATTGTTCATGTCCCCGTCTGTGTCTGACAGATTGTTTTCATGTCCCCGTCTGTGTCAGACAGATTGTTCATATCCCCGTCTGTGTCGGACAGATTTTTCATGTCCCCGTCTGTGTCGGACAGATTGTTCACATGTCCGTCTGTGTCGGACAGATTATCTCATCATTTTATTTCCTTGTTAAATAAGTTTTTTTTTTTAAATTATTTAAAACGGATTCAGCCCCTAACTTTTTTACCGGAGAATTCAACATCTTCATTGAGCTGTATTGGAAATATGTCCTCATAACGCTGTATTCAAAAACTGTCATACAAGATGTGTCATCATAAGGTGGTATATAAGATGTATTATCAAAAGGTTGTTTGCAAGATTTGATCATAAGGTTGTTTGCAAGATGTCATCATAAGGTTATTTGCAAGATATGTTATGTCATCATAAGGTTATTTGCAAGATATGTCATCATAAGGTTGTGTGCAAGTTATGTCATCAAATGGTTGTAGACAAGATATGTCATAATACGGTTGTATACAGATATGTCATCATAAGGTTGTATACCGTACTCCATTGTATGTGCCCTGTGGTACTGTTTTGTATACTGTACTCCATTTTATTTGTGGCATGCCGGATATCTGATTGTTGGGCGCAAATCGGATGTCTGGTTGTTGGGCGCAAATCGGATGTCTGGTTGTTGGGCGCAAATCGTTTCATATATATATAAATATGGTTACCCACTGTCCATATTCTTTGACATCCTTACTACTTCAACATTTTATTTTTTGTCCTTTCATCTTTATGTCACGTTACGGGAACTCTTTCTCATACGTAGGCCACTGCCACCTGTAAATATTTTGTTTCTAAAACTGCCACCGATACCCTAGCCTTGACCTTACTCGAGCCGCGACTCACGCACGAGACAAGTCAAATCTTGTATTATCGAATATCACGTCAGCTAAACACAGCCACCACACAGCGCCATCTGTGCATTTGGTAATTACATCAACGTGATGAATGGCTTTGGTCGGAGGCTACGGGTGGAGAGGTTAAAGTTCAAACAAATGGGCTCACTCCAGAACTCCATCTTTGCTGGCGGAAGGGCAGAAGATGAGAAAGTCGATGGATAAGTGGCTCTGGCGTCCAATATTTACGGGGGAAATTACCCGCGTCTGGAGTCTGTCATTTTTTAACCGTCTACCACGATCAATGCGTCACTGACGGTTTTTAGATTGCACAGCCAGTGGCAAAACAATATTTACATGCGCGCGTCAAAGAGTTAGCATCAGACGCATAACACTAACTAACATGGCTGGGCAAAAGGCAATCATACTCTATCCGGAACCCAATATTCACAGGAGTCAACTTACAGCTTAATGATTTCAATGTCACATACTTTTTTCTGTGTCATGTTAGTGTCAAACGAACTTCTGTATATGTCTGTGTCACATACGTTTCTGTGACATTTTGGTGTCATTTCTGTATCATTTCTTTGTCAACCACGTATCTGCCTACTTTCTGGATCATTTCTGTGTCAACCACGTATCTGTCTAGTTTCAGTATCATTTCTGTGTCTACCACGTATCTGTCTACTTTCTGTATCATTTCTTTGTCACCCACGTATCTGCCTACTTTCTGTATCATTTCTGTGTCAACCACGTATCTGCCTACTTTCTGTATCATTTATATGTCAACCGCGGCTCTCATATAATCATAATCAATTTTTTTTACTTGAAATTAACATTTTAGATTTTGGTGTTAGGGCCTTTTAAAAAAAAAAATTGTTTCGCTCCCTCTTGAGTCAACACGTGGCTACGCTTGTGTTATGCTGATTGGAAACATTGGAGTATGTCACTCCATATCCTGGTAAACATCATTCAGACATAATTCAAACCCAATTCATCTGTTTGGGTGGACAGTTTTTCGTGCTCAACAAAATCACGCAATATCAACCTCGGCCGAGTTCCATTTATATAAGAGATGTTCTAGAATTGGGGGCAAAAAAAATTCCATTTATATAAGAGATTTCTAGAATTGGGGGGAAAAAAATTTCCATTTATATAAGAGATTTCTAGAATTGGGAAAAAAACATTTCCATTTATATAAGAGATGTTCTAGAATTCGGGGAAAAAAAAAGTCCTTTTATTTTTTTCCCCTATCCATGACGTTCCATGTAACGATTCGCAACATTGCATAACCGAGGCCGGCGCGTGCAAGGCCGAGATGATGTCATTGTTGTCTCACGCGTGCAATCTAAATGCCAAAACGGTTTCTGCAAACTAAAATAGTATTAGTAATGAAACATTAGCAATGCAAATGGGAGGTCCCACGCGTTTCAACGGTGCCTTAACATGGGATGGCGATAATGCCGGACAACATTGAAACGATTTTACGGACAACTGAGTAAATATGTTACCATTGATTTACACGCCAACAATGAAAGTACACCGGAAGTGATGTTACCCAGCAGCGCACAGTTCACGTTGACCCCTTCTTTCAATAACTCTGTTGACGTCAATTGTCCGAGACCCGGTGCTATCTCACCTTTGATATTATGATATTGGATGTACTAGTTGTTTAGTGGTCTCTGGGTGGTCTAGTGGTCTCTTAATGGTCTAGTGGTCAGTGGGTGGGCTTGTGGTATTTTGGTGGTCTAGTGGTCTCTTGGTGGTCTAGTGGTCTCTTAATGGTCTAGTGGTCAGTGGGTGGGCTTGTGGTATTTTGGTGGTATAGTGGTCTCTTGGTGGTCTAGTGGTCTCTTGGTGGTCTAGTGGTCTCTTGGTGGTCTCTAGGTGGTCTAGTGGTCTCTGGGTGGTCGAGTGGTCTTTTGGTGGTCTAGTGGTCTCTAGATAGTCTAGTGGTCTCTGGGTGGTCTAGTGGTCTCTTGGTAGTCTAGTTGTCTCTTTGTGGTCTCTAGGTGGTCTAGTGGTCTCTGGGTGGTCGATTGGTCTTTTGGTGGTCTTGTGGTCTCTTAGGCGGTCTAGTGGTCTCTTGGTGTTCTAGTGCTCTCTTTGTGGTCTCTTTGTGGTCTTGTGCAGCGATTCCCAAACGTTTAAGCTGGGCCCGCAAGGTTCGAAATCATAACATGGATTGGTGCCTGATTGATTAGTTATATAATTTTTGTTACCATATTCATGTTGTGTGAGCGGGAAACGTAAGGCTAGCGGACCGGTGCCGGTCTGCAGAACACCATCTGGGGAATTGTCTCTTGGTAATGCAGTGACATCTTGGTGGTTTAGATGTCTCCTGATGGTCTAGGTGTCACTTGATGATCTAGAAGTCATTGATTGTCAAGGAGTCACTTGATGGTCTAGGAGTCACTTGATGGTCTAGAAGTCATTGATTGTCAAGGAGTCACTTGATGATCTACCAGTCACTTGATGGTCTAGGAGTCACTTGATAGTCTAGAAGTCATTGATGGTCTTGGAGTCACTTCATGGCCCATTGATAGGTCAATGGTCTACTTTCGTTGTCTATCTGGTTATATTTTTGTATGGTCCAGTTGTAACCTGAGCCAAAGGTTAATCTCTTGCAGCGTTTTTCCACTAGGTACTTAGCTCATAGTCAACTTTGATCTTTTGCTTAGCTCATTGTCAACTTTGACCTTTTGTTTAGCCGATGGTGAACTTTGACCTTTTGTTTAATTCCGTGGCCCCCAATGGGTTGTTTTTTCTTCTAAAGACTGCATTTTTATATCCATAAAGTCCTTTTTCCAAAGATTTCGTGGCCCCCAGAAAGGTGCTGCATTCCACAGGGAGGTGTCAGAGGAAGGATATGGCCCACTTTGAGGAACCATGACATGATGGTCCCATGGATAGGGATTATCTAAATCTGGTTAAAAATATTCCTCAGACTTTATGTTAGAATTGAATGGACGTCTGACTTTAGACAAAACCAAAGTTGGCGCAAACAAAGATAAAGACACTCAAATCTTGAACAGACGGTTCAGCGAATTTCCAGAAGAGCAGCGTCCATTCGATATCAATCGACAGTGTAAAATGTCATAATATATAATGGGATATAATCTACCGAACGAAATGAAGAGCTCTGTAGGCTCAGTATGAGAGTAACCAAATCTTAGATGATCAAAGGTTGAAACACCGGGACACACAACAACATGTGTCACTGAGACGCATAGCGCTTTTTGTTTCCCGAACATGTGTCTCGGGTGTGTCTGGAGTGACGTGAGCTTGCGATGTCAAACACAGGTTGTTCAAGTATCAAAAATATGTGCTACTGTACTGAATACATAAAATGCATTTTCACGTGTCTTACTGTGACTGAATACTTAATCTGTATTTCCACATGTGTTACTGAGACTGAACACATAATCTGTATTTTCACATGTCTTACTGTGACTGAATACATAATCTGTATTTTCACATGTCTTACTGCGACTGAACACATAATCTGTATTTTCACATGTCTTACTGTGACTGAACACATAATCTGTATTTTCACATGTCTTACTGTGACTGAACACATAATCTGTATTTTCACATGTCTTACTGTGACTGAACACATAATCTGTATTTTCCATTCCCCAGCTGATGTGTTTCTTCCCAAAGAAATGAACGTCGTTGGTTCAATGAAGACTGCCAACTTCATTTTGTGAAAACGCTCGTGCCTTCTGTAGAAAGACTTTTTGGATACACATCAAGACATCAGATCTAGAATTCATATTCACAAGTCGAAAACTTTTCCAAAATAGCGTCATCTTTTTTTTCAAAAAAAAAAAAAATAATAAAAATCAATTGCTCTACATTTTGTTTTAAAATTTAACAAAAATAGAAAAACAGTTTTCAGGGGAAACAACAAACACATTTATTATTTTGTGCAATTTAGCCTATATTCTCCTCCCCTATTATAAGTTAGTGGGCAGTGATTTAAAAAAAATGGCTTTCGGAAATTAAATGGAATCGGGATTTAAGTATGATTTATTACTTAATTAAAATATAAAACATATTTCAACAAATGTTGCTCTTGATTACATACAATATTCTGCTCCAAACAATTCATCTTCATCTACATCGGCTTGTGAGCAGCCATCAACTTCATCATTCAACTTGACACTAAAATGTGATGGGATATTTTTAGTGTTCAACAATCAACAAGCTGGATTTCATGTCAACAAACATGTTTTTGTATACAGCTCATTATACATTCGATGACCTTTACAATTCATCAGCTTCATAGAAGTGAAAAGAAGAAAAAAAAAACTATTTACTTCTTACAATAACAAAATTTGCTGCTGGTGGATTTATCAAATTCTTGAGAATAACTAATACTATATTTTTTGTGTTGATTTTTTCATGTGATGTCATCATTTTTTCGATGGATCGAAAAATCAAGTTCCATAATATGTGTTTTGTGAAGTTTTAATACATCCTTTGAGTGCTCTAACGGTATATTTTATTGACCTAAATACCAACTGGCAACATCGGGACTGATTGCCGGAATTAAACAAATTATGAACTGCTACTGTTGCATCAACTCATGTAAACCATAACATATAACAATTTAAATACACCAAGTGTACTTAATAAAATCATACTGCCAGTGCATACATACAAAATATCAACATCCGGTTGATGCAACCTTTGTTTTCTCATTCAACACAAGTTTAGTATGATAATCAATGATCTCTGATTTTTTAACCATAACATGATGGTTTCAGATGATGAATGTTCCTCTTACAGAATAATTTAATACTGTTGTAATTCAAAATTTCTTTTAAAAAAAAACAACAATTCTTGATGACTGAAATTAATGAGGTGTAACAAACTATTTGTATGCCATTCAAATTCTGAATAGAAAAATATACTCATGTTTTAATATCGAATTTGGGCAAAATGGTTGACGGACTATACAATCTCGACAACCTGTCTAATTTGACAAGTCTGGTTGTGAACATGAGCCACTACACAAGCCCGGGGGTCAGTCAAGCCAGAGACTTGTCAAGCCATCTGGCCGGGGATGGGAAAATGATAACAACCGCATCGACGTCCTCCTCACCGACAGAAAGTGCCCACTGGGAGGCATGTCATGACTGGCAAGATGCTCAACACACACTCTTTCAGGTAAAGTTCTTTCTGTCACATCATGAAACATCACAGTAGCCGATGACTCAATTTCTATAATGGTTCACCCCCGGTTGGCCAAGTCGGTCACCCCCTGTTGGCCAAGTCAGATACTGGGTTTAGCACCACCAAATAATGAACATGATGAACATGGTAAGAACTTAAACTCACAGAATATTAGATTATTTCAGTCCCCCCCCCTCATAGTTCTGGAACCATCTTGACATACTCTCACTGTTTTGGCATACTCTCACTATGGTAGCATACTCCCCTGATAGCATACTCTCACTGTGGTGGCATACTCCCCTGATAGCATACTCTCACTGCGGTGACATACTCTCCGTGGTAGCATACTCTCACTGCGGTGGCATACTCTCCCTGGTGGCCAACTCTCACTGTGGTGGCACACTCTCCCTGATAGCATACTCTCACTGTGGTGGCACACTCTCCCTGATAGCATACTCTCACTGCGGTGACATACTCTCCGTGGTAGCATACTCTCACTGTAGTGGCATACTTTCCCTGGTAACATACTCTCACTGTGGTGGCATACTCTCCCTGATAGCATACTCTCACTGCAGCGGCATACTCTCCCTGACAGCATACTCTCACTGTGGTGGCATTCTCTCCCTGGTAGCATACTCTCACTGTGGTGGCATACTCTCCCTAGTAGCATACTCTCACTGTGGTGGCATACTCTCCCTGGTAGCATACTCTCACTGTGGTGGCATACTCTCTCTGATAGCATACTCTCACTGTAGTGGCATACTCTCCCTGGTAGCATACTCTCACTTTGGTGGCATACTCTCCCTGGTAGCATACTCTCCCTGATTGCAAACTCCCACTGTGGTGGCATACTCTCCCTGGTAGCATACTCTCACTGTGGTGGCATACTCTCCCTGGTAGCATACTCTCACTGTGGTGGCATACTCTCCCTGATAGCATATTCTCATTTTGTTGGCATTCTCTCACTTGGGAAATTTAATTGCAATCATTGGATTCTTCTTTTTGGATCAAAGTTGTATCTATATTTAGATCATGTTTTATTTCCACAAGGACCCAAACTTTTATTCTTTGGGATCATCTTTATTTTGGGGCCTCTGACAATTTTTTTGGTACCCTGTCCTACTTAAGACAACATACAATACTCTTATACATCCCCCCCCCCCTCTTCTTTATGTCATTTTCTCTGAACCACTCAAATGACTATATTCTAATTAATGTATTTATATTGTGATTTCATTTTATTTGAATCTAACTTTTTATATAATTCATAATTTTAGTTCAATTACTTTATCGATATCACTTTATCCTAATGACCTGTCCTCTTTCTTGGTTTCCATCCATTTAGCTGGCTAACCTCTGTGCAGCCGTCTCTCTGCTCACACCAAGCAGCTTCAGGCATCACCTCCTGTTCCTCCGTGGCCTCCTTCTCATTGCCTTCCTTTTATTTGTCCTCTGGGCAGGACTCTTCGTCTGTATGCTGGACGTGCTTGCCTGGAACTGTGTCTTCTTTGTAGTGGACTTTGTCCACATTGTCTGCCTTGCTTACACCAACATTCCAGTACGTACATAATTTGAATAAATAGCTTACCTTGCTTACACCAACATTCCAGTATGTACACAATCAATGAAACTCAGGATTAAAAATATTTGAAAATAAATGAGTTTTAAAGCTATCAGTTCATGTTCCTACTTTGAGATATTAGATATTTAAATTGTACATTATGAAAACAAGACAATCAGGGTCACATATTGGGAACTTAAGCCAACTTTAACTTTGCAATTGTTTGTCGTACCTGTACATATTTGCATGTATTTCTCATAAATTACTTTAAACAGACAAAAGGCTCTTTGAAAGTTTTTATTTCAACATAGGAAGTTCCAACTTCATTATTTCTAAATATTGAAATTCACTGAAGGAAATTTAATTACATGACAACTAACGCTATGGACTCTTTGGAAAAATAAAATGAGCATTTTCTTGTTTTTGTTTGTTTTTTCTGTTTTTTGTTTTTGTTTTTTTTCTTCTCATGAAAAGTAAATGAGAAGGGAAAAAATTTTATTTTAATTAAAAATGAATTTTTATGTTTTCACCCGTGTTTGTTTAGAGCCGTTTCAACAAGAACCTGAATGAATTTTATGCGAAGAAGATGAAACCATTGAAGGTTTGCCGTCAAGACTTCTCTGAGCTGTGCAACATTGGTAACATTGTACCTCTAAGGAAAGGGACGAAGTACGCTGTGGAAAACATCACACCATGTGGAGAAAAGGTTTCAATATTACTTAGGGGAAGGTATTAGACTTTACTTCTTTATACCACTTTTCCTTATTCTATCGTCTTATAATTAGAGTGGCTTTTTCAACAATTATTTTTTAAAGTATTTGTTATTTATTACAGCTGCTGAAAATCGATTTAAAATTGCAATAGATCTTTGTTTGAACAATTTATTAAACTGTGACTTTAAACTCAAAATTAATTTGCTCTTAGTTTTCTCATGATCAAACTTGTGTTTTTAATTAATTTCATGAGGTTATTTTCATTTGAAATGATATTATTTTGAAATCTTTAATAAAGAAAATGCAACAAAATTACTCATATTGGTCATATAGAATAAAACTCTAAACAATTAAGTTATACAAAAGAAATTAAAATGCTCATTAAAAATTAATAAGATTTCAGTAGCATAATAGTATATCATCATTTTAATGATTTTATTTTTTATTTTCTCATATTAAGTATTACATTTGCATATCTATTACATTACAATACTATTCTTTATTTCAGACTCAAAGTCAGCCATGATGGAACGTTCCTCCATTCCGTGGAGCCAAATGAGTTTGTTGACTCCCCAGAATTTGACTCAGTCCCATTTCATACAGACACGAATGAAAAATACCAGGTAGGCTATCACTCAAAGCATGATATTATTTTGATTATGACAATTCATGTTAAAACATTGACATGAGACACTTGAAATAAATAAATGTATCATTTGTAAATGTTTCTGAACAAAATTTTTAAAATCCATTTGCACCTTTAAATGATAAAACTTGAAAGGAATTGAACAGTTACTGTTTGTTAGAGCCCTAGAAAATTAGGATTGTATAATTGTGAAGACTGTGTTAAACCCGAGTGAAGGAAATGTTATGAAGGTGATGAATGAAAGCTTGAAATTTAAAACAAAACACTGTCTCCATTTTGTGGCTTATTTCCTTTCAAGCATCTTTTCAAGTCCTGTTTCCAACTCTATTATTTTTCCATGTCACTTTTTTTTTTTGTTGTCGTTTTTAGATTTTACATTTCAAGCATTTTTTTTTCTTTTAATTTTTTATGTTTATTTTTGAAATAAACATTTTTTTTGTTTTTTTTAAACATGAGATTACACAAACTTATAATAACTCTGGTAAAGGTTACCTAAAATCTTTAAAATTCTGTATCAACTCTAGGAAATAGTGAAGCAAGATATGTTCAGGGTTTCTTTCAGCTATATCTCCGGGGGGCATGACCCCCCGGGAAAGCCAAGTGCCCGACCGCCCACCTCCCCCCCCCCCCCCCCCCCCCCCCCTCCCCGAGCAAAAATATTTCCAACAATAAATCAACTTGAACTGCTGGCACGCCCCCCCGAAAATTCTGAAGTGCCCCCCCGCCTCCCAAAATCTGAAGTGCCCTCCCAGGGAAAAATTTCTGAAAGAAACACTGGATATGTTAAGGCAGGGGTCAGGAACCTTTTTGTCTGTGAGAGCCATGGACAACACATATTTTGAAAAGTATTTCTGTGAGGAGCCATACATTATGTTTAAAACTGAAAATTCCAGAAAATGTGTGCATTTTGTGTAATTTCAACATTAAAAATGCAATAATTATGTCTCTGAATTCTTTTTAATAACATTGTTATGCTGTTGCTAATCAATGATGAGTATTTCTTAACTTTAATGCGATTTTTTTTTTTATAATCGAACATTTGTCTGCGAGCCAGATGCAGCCATCAATAGAGCCACATCTGACTCGTGAGCCATAGGTTCCCGAACACTGTGTTAAGGGTTGACATGAAAAGACAGGACAATTCTAGCAACTCTATTCATATCCTGGTCTCATCCAACATTGTGGGCCTCCCTTGCTACCAACCCTATCAAATCCTTTATAAAATTACATATCAGTTTCATATGTTTTTTCCAAATAATACAATAAAAAATCAAAACCATAAATTTATTACAAAATATGGCAGTTGTGTTATTTCATTATTTTTATTATAAATTTTTTTTTTGCGAACTATAAAATAACACAATAGGCATACACTGTTGAAAATGCAAAAAAGGAGGTCGGCTTAAGTACCCCAATCAAATTGATGGGTTCTCTTATGTTCAGTTCACTTTTCCAGGTAACCATCGTTTCTAGTGAAGATTCTTTGGTCATATCCTGGTCTTATCCAACATTGCGGGCCTACCTTGCCACCAACCCTTTCATCTGGACAGTATTCACAAATTTAGTTGGCAAGGATGTGAGTGACAAGCTCTACAGAATACAAGTAAGCAGCTCTAATTGTTATATTTCATTATTAATATTCAAATTCTTTTGCATGAAAATTGATTAAATTTAAGAAACTGCAATTCAGTCTTAGTGCCAATAAGTTTTCATTACACTTTTTACTTTTGTATTATATTATACACTTTAGACAATACAAATAAATTCTCTACTAATTTGTTAGCTTTACTTTAGAACAGTTCAGCATTTGTTTGTACTTCAATATTTTAATTTTATATTTTGTTACTTAGATTTTTAACAGAAAACTGGTTTAAAATCATTAAATTGTTACATGTTTCATGTGCTGAAATTTTATGAGAGTTTTCCTGACTAACAGACACTACTTAAAGAAAAATTTACTGTTAAAATGAACTAATTTATATAAAATGTATGATTTGACTTGACAACAAAAATTGATTACCATTTCCCCAGGAGCTGCTTTTAAGAGAGCCATTAGATGCAATGCTCTCTCCTTCTTTTTTAACACGCAACTCTTCAATGGTCAATGTCAGGAAATGTCTCCTGAGCAATGATGGAAGGCAGCTTAGTTATGCCAATGGTAAGAAAGAGGTAATGGAATTTGAGGGTTTTGATTTTTGTTGTTAGCATTTAATGTGAGGAAGTGGAAAGAAGCCAACAGAGTACACATCAATATTTTGAAATCTTGGAGAACTGAATTACTTTGATCATTTCACTAACTGATCATTAGGAAGGACACAATTACTTCAATAAATGACCAACTAATTTTTATATCTGACCACTTCAGTTACATCATCAGCCAACCAACCAAATAATCTAAAAATTGTCTACGCTCCAAACTACCAATATCTGCATAAGAGAGGCTTGTAGGTTTGCCGATAAAACAGTGCCTAATTCAGATATCATTCAAAGAAGGTGTATCAACAAAACGAGTTTGACACCATGAAAATACTATCTGTCAGTATGCATTGCCAGCTTTAGGAAAAGGGGATAAAGGTGGCTGCCTAGTTTTGTATATTTTTAGGGGTGACAAATTTCAGCATAATAAAAATTTTCAGAAAAACAAACAAGATCTTGATGAAAAAAAAAAGAAAAGAGACAGTCTGACAATGAAGTTCCAGATTATCCAATTCTTGACCCAGAAAAGAATTTTTGAGTTTATTTTTTAGACAGATTGTTGACATAGCAATTATAGCATTTTTTTCAGTTTATGGTCGACTTTTCCTTCTGCCAAAAAATCATATTTTTCTTGAAATTCACTGTTAATTAATATATACTCTTACATAAATTAGCCATAGCAGGATTTCTTGGTTTGACCTCCTTCTCTTAGTTCTATAACAAACTTTACATTTTAAAATTTAGATCAATTTAATTATGCAACTTATAAGTTTTTTGTTTTTTTTAATTAGATATTTTCATCATTTGAATTATAGTTGACATTCAGCAGAACATTCAGTTTCTTCAAACACTGAGAACTAAAAAAATAGATGACTTATCAACATTTAATGATTATGGGGCAGCACTTTTTGTACTCGACCATAGCACAAAATTTTCTAAGGCCTGCACTGTGACCAAAGCACAAAACTGTCTAAGGTCGGCACTGTCAGCACGGATATATAAAGTATAGAAGAAGAGACCACAAAAAAAGTGTAAGATTTGGGATGACCCATGATTATAGGGGCAGTATGTCAACCAGATTTTTGTATTCAGTTTCTTTACAAATTTATTTGAAATGCTATAAATGTGTTCCTTGTTGCCTAATAATTGTACAGTAATCAATGTTTTTTTTTGTTTTTTTCAAGAGCAGCACAAACTTATCTTAATCATTTTCATATTTTAAAATAAAAAAATATATCATGCCCGCATTTAAAAAAGAATTTATTGACATTTTAAATCGTTGTTTATAAACATTTTTACAAATTATATTTTTATCCAGCGTATGAGCAGTTATCGGAACCTTCTGTAAGTGATTTGATCTATCCATCAAGCACAGTAGAAACAAGTGTTTGAAAACGACTGTGTTAGGGCAACTGGAGAAAACATTGGTTGCCATAGATACGGTTATACAAAACTCCCCATCATCAATCAGCATTGTGTCCTCTCGATTGCCGTATTGTATTATATCTACTTCAGACCTGACGTGTACTTTGGCATCTTATTGTCCTTTAAACATTCCCAAGTATTATATACCTGCATTTCTGTAAATATTATTGTGATGTGTTCAATGTCATACTTTATTGGCTTGTCTGCTCAATTCAAAATAAGAATTTATACATTCGTGATGTTTAGATGTTCAGAGCTTGACACAAAGGGATTTATTTATTTGTCAAAATTGGTGCAATATTGATTTGCCTACCTTCATTATAACCGTGATTTTTTTAACAACTTTTTTGTTTTTCAGCTTTTGCTATTTTAAGAGACTGCTAACAGAGTCGAAACTAATTTTTTTTTTAAAATTTAAGTTCTGTAAAGATCTCAATAAAAACTGAACAAGTAAATGTGACATTTTGTGCAGAAGGTAAGAGGAGATCCATGTGACACTGACCATACTTATAACACTCACAGTTCCCTATCCATTTTTATTCATCTCAATTGTAGGCTGGTAGTGTTTATACCTTTTGTTAAGTTGGTCATGTTCCATATCTGAAACGCAATATTACAGAATTCAACATTTTTTATTGGATGGCTTTTACACTCTTGGTTTCATGGGGACGTTTAAACTTATGAGCCTGTTTATATGGCATGACTTGACTGAGATGACTTGACTGATAACGTGACTGAGAAGACCATCTTTAAAAAAGATAAACAAATCATCTTTGATTATCAGCTTTTATGAAAATTGGAGTAAAACTCCTTTTCGATTAAAGGGCCATCCATAAATGATGTCATGCTCCCCCATGGAAGGGGGGGGGGAGGGGGTGTGACGAATTTTTGATGATGTGTGATAAGAGAGTCTAACTTGAATTTGAATTTAGTGATAATTGGTGGACGGGGTGGGGGAGGGTGGCTGGGAGGGGGGGGTTGGGGGGGTTGGGGAAGGAGGGACAAAATAGCGGGATGTAATTTATTGCCCCTAGCCATTTCTTTCAATTTGTTCAAACATTTCAATGTTTACACATTGGTGCTGGGTGGCCGAGCGGTCTACACTGTCTCAAACCAAAAAGCCGGTGGCCTGGAGTTCAATCCCCACCAAAGCCATCCCAAGCACCCCGGGTGGATGGGACTCGTTAGCCTTGGAAGGCAACCCATCTAAGAGAAGGCAAACTCTGAATTTAAATCAGGAGCCAGAATGATCAACAAATTGATCGTGGGCCCCTGAAATATAAGAAGAAGAAGACATTTTTTATGGTGTAATGTAACAGAATTTTGACTTTTCTGTTCATGCTGGATTAATTTTAGCTTTTCATCTGCCCCAACTTTAAATATGTAGTAGACCCTATCTTTTTTGTTTTTGAAATATGAAAGGGTTGACACACTTTTTAAAATCATTTGAAATGAAACAATTGCTTCGTGGTTTTATTTTGTTAGAATTAAATATTTTAGAATGCTGACCAAATTAAGCAAAATTTAAAGAATTTTTAAAAATCAACTTGATAGTTTCAAAAATAAATTCCATAATCTCTATAAATGAACAAATTTATTGATCCTATAAATGAACAAATTTATTGATCCTATAAATGAACAAATTTATTGATCCTATAAATGAACAAATTTATTGATCCTATAAATGAACAAATTTTTTGATCCTATAAATGAACATATTTAATGATCCTATAAATGAACATATTTATTGATCCTATAAATGAACAAATTTATTGATCCTATAAATGAACAAATTTATTGATCCTATAAATGAACAAATTTATTGATCCTTTGCCAAAGAAAAAAGCCCTAAACACCTGGAATTAAGTGAAGTTAATTTAAATCATGGCCAAGCTTAAAGCTCATGCAAGTAGGTATTCCTTTTGAACAGGCCAATTAGGTATTCCTTTTGATTTTGCCAACTGTTTGTTGAACTTTACACTTTTAGTCAGATTGACTTTCCATATTTACCAATGCGCAGACCTCTGCAGACATCCAAATGAGACAGTAACACATCATCTCTTCCATTGCCCAGCACTTCAAGACTTACATCCTAATTACCTTACATTCTAACTGCCTACCAAAATCACCAGACTACACCAACACCCTACCAACAAACAAAGGACTTCTGGGGAGAGTGTGTAAACTAATGAAACATTTTTTTTTAAACGACAATAAATTAATAATTGGTTTCAAAGATTAGATCCATTTGGCAAGTTTTTGATTTTCTGTAGCATTTATGTTTGTAAGATGCTGCCATTTAATTGTTTCCCTTAACCTAAAGCATTTTTGTTCAAACACAGAGCTTAATATGTTATCACCTTTAAATATTTTTTTTTCATTTAGAATAATATGAAAGTTTGTCCTTGTAAAGCATTAGAAACAATGCAAGTCATATGATAAACTTTGTAAATTCTCATGTTCTAAGTTTCCTTTTCACCAAACAAAATGGCTTACAATGAGAATTTTATAAAATCTTGAATGTGTTTAAATGTTCTTTAATTACATTGGACAAAACCTACTTTTACTTCAGCCCTCCTCTTTCAAATACCCCGCTTAAAGTTTTACAAATAAAAATTTTCACCAAAACATTTCCAAAATGATCACAATTTTAACACTTTCAAAACAGGTTCACTGTATTATACTATTAAGTGTCAGTGTTATTTTTCAATCAATAAAATTTCAAGTTGCCAAGGAAACAAAGAATAACCCATGGGCATCCGCGGGGGTGGGGGGAGGGCACTTGCCCCCCTGGATTGATTGGATAAAAAAATTTTAGACAAAAATAGACAAAAAATTTATTGAAGTAAAGAGAAAATAAAGAGAAAGTAACTAAGCTGATGTCCTGTCCGTTTGTTCACCATACAAATACGCTAAAGTAAATTAAAACTACATTAAAACATTACTAAAAAATTTTTGCCCCCCCCCCCCCCCAGAAAAATAAAAAAAATCGCTTTTTTGCCCCCCCCCCCCCCTAAAAAGTTTTATGCGGGCGCCCATGGAATGACCATACCATTCCCCTCTTCCCATCAATTTCTCAAATTTGTTCCCTTATTTAGAACTTTGTCAATTTTTATTTGTTATTTTGTTAAAGAGTTACATTTTCTGGTTTGTGACTTACACCATTTATAATTGCTCCATTTGAAATAAAGTTTAGTAAAATATGTCTCATTGCTTTGATCCAGCCTTTTATGACGTGATATTAAAGTCATGAATTGTATTTTAACTTGTAATGCTCAGAATCATTCACAATACACCAAACACAAAGGTGTGCGAGGTTACTAACAATAATATGATTAAATCTGAATGGCATCTTGATGTATATCTTTGTCATAATTATCATACTCCGATAGCTTTATGGCTTATCTTTTCATGTTTTGATTTGCATATAAATGTTTCATCCCAAATGTCCATGAAATACAACAAAATAATAAATGAATTATAATAAAAAAACCTGTATTTTTTAAATGTATTTTTTGTCAAGCTGCTTTTTGTCCTGATTCCATTTTCCTAAATTGAGATTTTTTTTATTTTTACTTTTTTAAAAGCTGCCAATAATTTGAGCCTGTCCCATAAAAATTTTTGATCATTTTGTTATGCACTAGACATTTCCAATATCAATTGTGTAGGCAAAGTCCCACACCCCCTCACACACATGTTTGGACGATCAAAAAAAAAAAAACCAGAGAAAAGGGAGAGAAAGAAACTGCACAAAGTTATGTGGAAAATTTTCTCGATTACATTTCTTTGAAAATCATTCTGCTGCATAATTTGTAAAAATTGAGTTTCTGGACGAAAATTCAAGACATTGGTTTTAAGTGAAGTAATTGATATTTTGTAATTAAAATATATAGCTAAAAATTATCACAATAGAGAATTCGATCAAATAGTAATTTGAAAGTTTGGACAAGGACTCTTACAAAAATCGCATCAAATGAACGAAAATTTGAAAGGAATTTGATTGCGAGAATTGACATGTAATAATTTTTTACTTCAAAGATTGTTGTCTTTAGGAAAATATTAGTAATTAAATAAATTTTAATCTTTTATCTATAAATGCCGCTCAGCTAATATTTTCAAACCTAAACACCAGGTTTTTTTTTAGAAATACGGTTTTGGGTTTTCAGTTATTTCATTTAAATCGTCACAAACTTCAGCGTCGTTGGCTGCCAAAACG